TGCAAGTTGTGCACCAATAGAGACGCCTGCTATTCCCGAAGCCCGAAGCAAGTCAGCGTGGTTGGTTGGAGTTCTAGAAATCCGCAACCCAGCCCTCAAGTCAATCCCATTAAGAAGTCCCAACCCCAAAAAACCCTGAACGCCATAAAACCGCAAACGATCAAGCGGCTTCAACCAAACCAGCTGTCGTGTCTGCATAGCCGGAGCCAGTGGAAGAGGCTCCGGGAGAGAAGTGCGTGAGACGCTTCTTGAGGGTTTAGGGTTTAGGGTTTAGGGTTTAGGGTTTAGGGTTTAGGGTTTAGGGTTTAGGGTTTAGGGTGAGATACACGCAGCTTCTCTTCCACGGGATTGACTGAAGCAGGCTTTCGCTGGGCCCCCGTTCCCTCTGCAAGCACAGAGCTCATGTGACATGGTCTTGGTGAGGTTCAAGCGAAGTCCCGGAAGATTCCGAAAATAGGGGACCCTAATTATAAAGCACCCTAAATGGTAGGATCCTTATTATAAGGTTAGCGGACAAAGGTCATAACCCCCAAATAAGGCACCCCTTACGTTGGGAAACTCCCGTATGAGGACTCCCCAACAACTGCGTGGGCCCAGTCCGAAACGGCTAGGGTTTAGGGTTTCAGGTGTAGGGTTTTAGGGCAGATCGTCCATAAAGAGGAAGGGTGCTTACAAAGTTCGCCGGAGGCTCTCCAAGACCGCTCTAGCTTGTCCAGCGCAAGGCCTAGGACATAAGAGGAACCCCCAAACCCTGAACACGAAAACCGCACAACAAAAGAAACAGCGTCGTCTGACCTGAGCCAGGAGCTCCGCCGTGCGCCGCCGCAGAGCTGCCAACTCCTGGATCGTTTGAAAAAAGGGCATCAAGGAGTGATTCTTTGAGGGTTTCGGGGTTTAGGGTGGTAGAGGTTTAGGGGTTTTGAATTTCGGGGTTTAGGGGTGTAGGGTTTCAGCACTCACTACTGGGACAGGCCGGGCGAGGTCCGTCTAGTACAGGCAGCGGCCCCACTTGTTGCCTAAACCCTAAAGAATAAGTGCCCCAGACTTTCCCAAATCCTAAAGTGTTTAAAAGCTAATGTTGCAGCTGCTACAGGGGTTCAGGGAGCCTGCATGTAGAGACGGCGACCGCACCCAACAATGCATCCATTCGCAGAAACATGGGAAGTGATTTCTGGTTGTTCGGATGTCTCCGCACACCGCTGTTTCAAGCACACATGAATACGTGCACTGTTTGCGGGCTTGCAGGACGCGCATGACACGCTGGCGACCAGCAGCTTGCCTGGGCTTGCTTGCGAATCGGCAGCCTTGGTACTATGTATAGACCCGTGTGCGTAGGAACACCCCTGTATGCAAGAATGTTTCGAGTGCTTTTTTAAAAGCAAATTATGTGCCTGAAGCCATGGGTTATTCCTAGGGCAACTGCTCCTCAGCACCAGAGTCGAGGCTGCGTCAAGCGCGGCTAAATCTAGTGACGCATTTTTGTTCGGTTTTTCCTTGCTGCGCGATGGGCTGGCGATTGGTGTCAAGGCGAAACAGCCATGGATTTTGATACAGCTTTTGCATGAAATATCAGCTCTCATTCGGCTTTTTGGGTCGGTCCATACATCCTAAACCCAAAAGCTATCACACAAGCTGCCGTGTGACTACGGTTTTCCGTCCGCGAAAGAAGGCTCTCAAAAAATTGGCGAAAGTTCTGTTTATGCCAAGAGCGCCCACGGCTCTTGCTGGAGCACACGCACACAGCTTCCACATGCATGGTTGTAGACATGCCCGGCTCCGCCCTACCCGAAGGAGGTCGGCCACGGGACGCGTCGTCGTCGTGTATGCTCCAACAACGGGCTGGGAGATCTCTCGGGGATTTAACCTCCACCCGAGCTCGAGGGCCGCGAGTTAACGTCGCGGGGCGTCCGACGACCTGTTGCGTGGTAGGCAAGCATGATGGGACCGGCAAGCAGTGATACTGGGCAAAAAACGGGCACGCATGTACTTGCGAGTGCCCTTTAACGTCCGCGCTCCGCCGGACGGCCGCCCCGGCCGATGATTAACAGCTGGGGCCAAGTATGAAGTTTAAAGTCCGCGCTCTCTGGACTGCACACTGTGGAACTTCCGCAAAGGTCCGCCGTGTCACTTCCACGGGAAATATGTACCTGCATGCATACACATGGGCGTGTCCCTCGAGGACATAGTGTGTACGGATGCATAGACACGTTCGACTAGCAGCCGGAGTGACACACGTGTGTCTCTTGAGACACACAGGTGTGTTGCACTGACTACGCCGAGAAGGGAAAACATGTGTCATGCTTCGGACGCGTGTGTGTGTGTGTGTGTGTGCTAAAAGCACCGTGCACATGTTTATGCTTGGAGGCAGACACATGTTACGAGCATGCAACCCTCGCACGTTTGTTGCCTTTCAGGAGCTTAGGGTTTGGGATATAGGATTGAGGGTTTAGGATTTAAGCAAAAAGGTTTAGGGCTTAGGTTTAAGGTCTCTCACCAGCCGATGGCTGACAGAGCCACGAGGCAGATCCAAACGCAATACCGGGGTTACGGCTACGGTTACTAACGGCAAGGCGCTTTCCAGGGGCCTTACTACAAGGATTACCACACGGATTTCTGGGAAATGGTACTACTGTAAGTGTTTGCGTGCTGGGACACTTAACCGCAAACTTTCTTAAGAAAAGTGTCCCCATGGCCAAGCACCCTCCAAGTACTCCCCATTATCGGTTCCCAAGTTGCCACGAAAAGACATCCAAACCAAAAACCCGAAACAAGGCTGCAGGAGCATGTTCCTGGTGATTGCTCCTGTGAGTCGTTTTAATGAAGGCTTCTACTGTTGCTTTCGCCGCATAAGGATTATTACACTTGCCACCATCGTTCTCGCTACGGTTTCGGTGGCTACTGCTTCTCTCAGAAGTTTACCCTTACTGTTATCAGCTATCGGTGATAACCCACATGTAAAACATAGCAGCGCCCGTGTCTTAGTGCAAGGGCCCCAACGGAATCTGCACGGGCAAACCCCAAAAACTCCAGAAGTCCCTGAGAGCCTAAACCCCCCCCTGAGACCCTCAACCCCAAACCAACCCAAATTACCCACTAGGTTTCTGAGTAACCCCTTTACAATGAGGGTACCCTTTTTTCCGACTATTCGGTTTTAAGAAAGGGACCTTGTAAAAAAGGGACAAAAAGGGTACTACTCAGGAACCTAGCCCAAATCAACGCCAGCAGATCGAAGGCTGCGTCGTCCTGGGGAGTCGGCTGCCGCTGCACCTGTGCCATTGACTTGTGAATCAGGCCTCGGGGTTTAGGGTTTAGGGTTTAGGGTTTAGGGTTTAGGGTTTAGGGTTTAGGGTTTAGGGTTTAGGGTTTAGGGCCCTCTCGCATTGTTGAGAAATAGGGTTTAAGGAATAGGGTATAGAGTTTAGGGTTTTCGGGTTCTTGGGAGTTGGGTAGGAGACAAGCGGGGCGACCCGGCCCGCTAGGAATCCGGAGGCGAAGGCTGCGGGAGCTGGATCATTGGATGCTAAATGGGAGGTTCCGAAAATTTGGGTACCTTATTTTGGGGTCCTTATAATAAGGATCCTATTTTCGGAACCCTCCAAATGGGTTTAGGGCTAGGGCTTCAGCACTTGACGGGCAATGGGCTTTCCTCGTTGGGAGCAAGAGCTTCCTATGCTTAAGCGGGTTTAGGGTTTAGAGTTCAGGTTCTACAAGGCTTCCACCAAAGGGGTTGTGTAAATTAGGGTTCACGATTTACTAAAGAGGTTTGAGCAATTATCATGTCCCCCAAGCTGTAAAACCAAAAGACAATCCTATGAGCATCCCGAATGTTCCGATATCACGCCGCGTGGCTGGTCTTGCCGACTCGGGTTCGCTCAAGTCTAGGGGAGGCTCTTTCTCTGGCTTCGCTTATGTCAGCCTTGCAGGAATAGTAGACGGTTTTTTTTTTTGAACTCCTGTTTAGGGTTTAGGGTTTCTCTGTCGGCGTGGCAATGGTGCGACAGTCAGTACAGAGGCCTTGAGCATTAGAGTAGGGCTTCATAGGAGTGTTAGAAGGTTTTGTAAGGTCTAACAAGCAAATATGCAGGGGCGTTGCCAAGCAGGACCAGGTCTTGTGGGATGTTACGCGGCACTTCTGTCTTGGAACCCTAAATAGTAGCATTACCCATCATTCAAGGCACAACATTATGAGCATGTTGCTTTAAACCCCCAGTCCCGGAACTTCTCTAGGACCCTGGGTATGACGAAGCTGTCGAACGAGTTTCTAGCGTCCAGAGACTCAATATCCAAGCTGCTCATCCTCAGGCATACAAATGAGGATTCAACGACAAACCATCCCTTTCCTTTACTTGTTGTGCTTGAATTTAGGGACCTTGGGCAGTTTGACTTTTGCGTTGCACCTTCACTGGTGCTACTCCGATCATCCCGAGCTTCTTGCGAGGGATCATGCCCACAATGCCTGTGTTGAACAGCATCGGGCAAGGGCATGCTGCACTGAACGTACATAGCTTGCCACAGCTCTCCGCGAGATTACGCGGTTATGGTGCCAGGCAGGCACATGGTGTCCTTAAGGACCAGATGACCCTGCAAAAGTATGACGCTCTACATCTTCCATTATAAACCAAGATGGGATATGAGCCATAAACCCGTTTAAACCCCATTTGGTCCTCAAGGGTATATAGGGAATTAGGTGCTTTGGGGCAGGAAGGGTTAGGGTACGGGCCGGGTACGGGTTCAGAAAAGATGGGAACTGACAGCTCCCCGCAACTTCGGCGGTTCTGTCAAGGAACTTCTGACAGCTCAGCAGCCTAATGGCTTAGGGTTTAGGGTTTAGGCTTTAGGATTTAGGGTTAAATGGCTGGGGCCTCGGGTTTCAAGCTAAGCTTTGGAGTTTAAGGTTTCGACTCTCACAGCTTGGGCAATCCGGGCCGAGGGTTTCTTAGGGCTTAGGGCTCAGGGTAGGCCAGCATGTCAGATCTTCACAATGCTGAAAGAGAGGGCAACTATTCAATAATACCCTCAAGGTTCAGCAAATAGGTGCCCATGATCACCACCAGCACTGCTGTCAGCGGCGCAACCATGGGGCACCCGTACTGCTTGAATTTGCAAAGCCTCATTACCCGCGCGAGGCGGGCAAAGCGCTCCAGGATGAACAGCCTCAGGACCGGCTGATGCAGCAGATGGTCGAAATAGATCTCCATCACGGCTATGGCATCCAGGATGTTCAAAGGTTGTGAGAAAAAATTGAAAAGCGTTCTCCATCCTGGCTGCAATGCACACCGCGCGACGATCCTGAGAAGTATCTCCTGGGTTCTTGTTAAGGAACTGAATTGATGTTACCACAATAAGGATCTATAGTAAATGATGAGGCCTCCTTATTATGGGAACTTCAACTACATTCCTTAACAAGAACCCAGTCTCGATCGTAAAGATGCCGGCGAAGAACATGTCGCAACCCAGCCAGAAGAGACGATCGTTCTCCGACTGGTCTTCGTCAAGTCCAGAAACCATCGGTTCTACGATGATGGCAACCACGGACAGCACGGTCCAGGCAAGCAAAGTATAGACCACGATTCCAGCTGCAATTGATGTCTGTGGCCTCTCACAAAGGTCAATGATTGTCTGTGCCCAGGCAGGACTATCACCGAAGGTGGATTGTGGCTGATCGACCAGCATCTTTTTCGAGACGTCGATGTTGCTGACGAGGGACTGGGTCGCCAACGTGCCCTTCTTCTTCATGGCCGAATGGAGGAGTCGGTCCCAAGCGCGCTTCGGACGCACTTCCTCTTCAGACATGGCCGACTTCGGAGGGAGGCGACCTTTACCTCGCTGCAAGTTCGTCAGGAAGACGGTGAGAAGGCTGCAGGTGTCCAAGTGCAGGCCTCTTCCTTCGCCACGTCGGATCCAGTCTGCCGCCCATAACATCTCCTCGTGGGGAGTCGCATCCCCGTCAGTGTCCTCCGAACGCCGTGCCCTGCACTCCTCAAGCAGCTCCTTACTTGTCCAGTTTCCTAGAGGCAACTCAAGGTTATCCTCCAGGAATATATCCGATATAGGGATTCTAATTCTCCGAAGAGGTTCACAAGCTACTTGCTGCTCTATAAACCCTTAACCCTAAACCCTAGACCGTCGACGAAGGATCCTGGTCGAGGCTGCCCGATAAGGTCTCGGTCCCCATGAGGTCGAAGACACCCTGGAGCAACTTCCAGTCTCGCTCGCGCCGCTTCACGTAAAAGGAGACGATCCCCGCAAACTGCTGGTGGGTCACATGGGTGTCCGGAAACGTCTCCTAGGGTCTAGGGTTTTGGGGTTTAGGGTTTAGGGTTTAGGGTTTTTTTTCACACCCGCTTCGCTGACTAGGTCGCACTGCAGGGAACAAAGCTTCGAGAGTCGTTCGAACGTGTNNCCCTTTCTCCGCATGAAGTCGGCGCCTGCCTGTATACCAGGCTTGCACTAGGTGGCAGGTTTGTACACATGGCCACCACAACGAAACTGTTAGACATGATAGCAGGTTGCAACAAATATCAGTACAGCTCAGAGTCGGAAGCCATCTTTACATGACAGGCAACATGCTTAAGCATCACGGCTACGGCTTCGCTCACGGCTTCTCTCACGGCTTCTTTCACAGCCCTCGTCGGTGCCCTCGGAGGCTTCCCCACGTGCATCCACACTACCATCGCTCTCCGCCACATCCCGTTCTCCTTGTGCACGTTCTTCCGCTGGAGGCGGCCAGACATGGCGTTCTGGACGAGTTTCCCAGAGAACGGGTCTTGGGCGCGGCACTCGCTGACGTCGACGGTGAAGGCCTCCTTGTCGTCCGGGTAGAAGATCTGGCGGTGGTGCTCCGTCAAGGCATGCGAGGTTGGTGGTGTTGTCGGACTGGATGAGATAGAGCTCCTCATCTTCCTCCGACACCCAACGGCCCTCCGGCACATTCCTCCCATCACGGTGGTGCAGGGCTCTTGCATGATGTCGCCAAAGGCGTCGACGTAGTCCCACCACCGTGTGCCGCTGTAGTTGAGGCAGGCTGGCCCAGAGCTCATCCAGTGTCTGAGGTAACCCCGGGCGTAGCAGAACCGCTAAGGAGTCCACGTCATTGGAGGTGCCCGATGAAGACGCCGACGAGCCGAAGGATGCCTCGCCCGAGATGCGACGCCAGATATGTGCATCCATGGTAGGACCATTCAGGACAGGCGCATTGGCTGTTGTCTGCACCCAGGGCAGAGCTTCCTCAATCGCCACCCCTGTCAGCCTCAGCAAGTGCTGGAGTTGGCGCTGTCTGGCAAGCAGGCGGCTGATAACGTCCACTACATCGGCGGGGTTGGCCATGACCATTTCCCTCTGTACGGTGTCACGGACCACGTCTGCCGGGAGCAGCACCGAGGAAGAGGTCGTAGTGGTGGTTGATGAGGAGCAAAGGAAAAACATCACCCCATTGGCGTAGCAATCATCCCCAACGCTGCAGGTAGAGGCAGACTCCGGGTCGAGGAGCGACATTGAGGACGATGAAGCTGCCGATAGTTGGTCGCCTCCAGGTCGTGTTGTCGTAGAAGAGGAGCTCGTGGGTGGCGAAGGCACCGAAGACGATCTTGTCGCCCTTCTTTGGGCCAAGTCAACATGTGGGTGCCCGTTGCTCGTTGCCTCCTCGTCATTGGCCAGTTCCGCCCATACACCAAGTAGTTCGCCTTGTAGAGCTCGCTGCGCGTCAGGGCCCAGTGGTGGTACTGGAAGATTGACTGGCACAGGTGGAGGCGGTCCATATGGCTCCGCTCGCTCCGGTGCAGGAAGCACTGGACGAAGGGTTCCATCACTGTCGCATGCAAACTCACTTAGGGTCGGCGAAGGGCCCCGACCACGGCGGGAGCGCGAACGACTCCGGACGCGCACACTTGGCGAGGACGAAGACGAGGAAGACGATCCTGCCACATCACCCTCCACTTGGTCAGAGGATTGACCCCCCGAACTCACCCCAGTCGTTTGAGGTCCACTGTTGACTCCATGTGACGACGAGGGTGCACTGTGCGCTTCCGCTGGAGTGTCGACCACGGTTCTCTCGGAGGCCAACAAAGGGGGAGTGGGGACACCTGGCAGGTCGGGCACGTCGAGGAACTCGCTGCTTTGCAGAACCACTCCTAGGTGTCTCTCCAAACTTTGCAGAAACATCGTTGTGTACTGACGTACCCACGCGAAGAAGCGCTGCCGTTCTTCTTCTCGCCTTGGCACTCTGATGATTGGGAGGAATCCACGAGGGCGAAGTCGTCGGCCAAGTATCTCCATCACTACGTCGAGTGCTTGCAGGCCGTCTTCTGCACGTTGTAGGAGACGCGCCAGAGCCCACCTTGCCTCAGGACCCGTGTCTCCTTGGTTGTGCAGGTCCAGTCTGTCAAGGAGTTCTTCTACACGTTGAACAACTTGAGTGGGCACGCCGTTCTCCTGAAGTGAAGCCCTCTCGGCACCTGAGAGCTGCATTGTTACAACCTCATCCGTGGGCTCCGCGGCGATTGGTCGCACTATGGGGAAGAGGCCGTCGTTCGGCAGGAAGGTGGTGTCCTGCGGGAAGGCAGTGACGTTGATCGTGGTCGTCGTTGTAGAGGAGGTCCACGTCCATGCTGTCCACGAGGAGGATTCTTCCCATTGCCACCATCCCCACCAGTTGTTGTTCCATTGATGTGGTGCCAGCCAAGGGTCTTCGTCAGTCAGCTCTGTTGGCTCGGCCGATGGTGCTGACCCCATATTCATAAGCGTGACATTGTCATCCTTGGCCGTGGTCTCTTCGAACTGGGTCTCCGTCATTTCCTGGAGGTCCTGCTCCAGCATTTCCCCCTCCGTTCCCGTCTGCTCGTCAGCCATCTCACGCTTGCGCTTGTCGTCGATGTACCTATTGAGCCACGCCGGTTTCCATTGGCCAGCCCAGTAGGCATTCATTCGGGCGGCCTTTCGCTGTGAACGTTGGGGACCCATTCCACCCCTGTGAGCACGCTGTTCAGCCGCCGTGCGTTGTCGCGGCTGCCATTCACCCCCTCTCCAGAAACCTGTAGGCGAGGAAGAGGGCTGTGAGGAGGAGCTTTGATCACCAATGTCACCCCGGCTGGTCGGCGCGTAGTCCTCGGTGGTCGATGTCACCCCTCCCGTGGCCGTAGAATTCCCTTCACCCGGCGGGGCATCACAGCGGACGGTGAAGTTCGCCCCATAGAAGGTCGTGCCTTGGACGCAGTACTCTTGGTTGACAGACGTCACCCCAGTGATGGTGAAGGCACCTGCAGGCTGTTGCATTGTTGAGGAGGAGGAGGACGACGAAGGGCAGGCTTCTTGTTCCGCTTGGCGTTGACGTTGTATCTCCTCTTGTCGACGGTTCCGGATAGAACCATCCGGGTGATGCCAGCGGTCAATACCTGGGCGAGTGCGTCCACCTCGTTGCGTGACTCCTTGTGATGGGTCATCCTCCGAATCAGGCGGCGCCGGCATGGAAGGCGATGTCAGCGAGTTGGGGTCTCTTCCGTGCGGCGGCCTGGGGTGGCGAAGGGCACGACGTAGGTTCCTGTCATCCAGAATGGCCTCCACCCAGTCGGCACCTGACGGTGTCAGCGGTGTAGACGTAGCCGGCGTAGTGAGCCCCGATGAGGTGCCAGGCGCCACTGCACGATCATAGGATGCGCCAACCAAGGTGGAGCCAAAGGGTAGCGGTAGTTCCTCGGGGATTGGGGCCAGTGGTCGTGCATGTGGTTGATCGTCCGGGGGTGCATGAGCTTCTTGTAGTTCATGTTCTTGAAGATGCCAGCTTATGTTCTCATCCCACTTGGTCTGCCTGTGCACGTTCAGGTCAACCTGGTCGAAGACGAGCGGCGGGCAAGTAGAGGAAGACGGCGAAGAAGACACCTCCGGTACAAGATCACCCTGAGCATGTGGCTGTTGCTGGGTCTGCGTGTGCACGTTCGGGTCAAACAGGTCGGAGACGGATGGTGGAGACCAAGAGGAGGAAGACGTCGAAGAAGTCACCCCTGGTACCCGATCATCCTGAGCTTGTGGCTGTTGTGTGGGTCGCGAGGAGCAGGAGGTCGAAGCCGTTGCTGGCTGTGGGAAGGAGGCCTGTTGTTCATAGGCCTGTTGGTCTTCCCACGCACCTTGTCCTTCATAAGTGTGAGAGGGCGAGGTCCAGGAAGTGTTTTCCCAGGCCTCTGCCATTCTTGTCGCAATCTCCTGGGGGCTCCAGCTTTGCCAGTAGCTATATTGTTCAGGTTGAAGACGGCGACGGTGTACACCAGCCGAGCCGGACAGGAGCAGCAGGAGGTAGAGCATGAAGAGGGAGCAGGCGGAGCGCCGCGCAAGAGGCCGCGCCATCATGTAGAGAAAGTGCGAGGTGCGAAGGTTTTCGACAACACCTGGAGCCACAGTGTGACGGGGCCGCGAAGGTACACGTTCATCACGAAGGCTTCAGCTTTTCAAAGAACATGTTGCAGGCAGAACAATATAAGGGGTACAGGTCAAAGGAGCGGGGGCTGAATTGCAGATAGGCAAAGTGCAGAGTGATCGCATGGACAGCAGCTCGCCGATCCAACTACCAACTAAGACGAGATCATGTGCTCAATCGTTTGGGAGCAAACAATTTCATTGACAATCTCGAGAGAACTAGTAGCGGAGAGAGAGCTGACGCCCCGAGGACCACTTGACATCCCATTCAGCAATATACGCGTTTCTTTCCTGGCACCATCTGCCACGGTCTTGTGCTATGACATGCCAAAGTGTGCCATGTGTGCTGGCCAGTTGCCGTTCAGTGCATGATGCATAGAACCTTTGGGGATGACGGAGACCAACGGTCGGACTAAGGGCCTGTTGTCCCCGCCACCACTGCGTGCATCTCCAGAGAATGGCCCGGAGAGGTGCACTAGAGCACGGTGTGCCTGCGACGTCTTCTGTCCTTCTGGCCCAATGTCCGTGTAGCATGTGTTGAAGAGCAAGGATACGCCCTGACCAGCGATCAACCCCATTGTTCACCAGCCACACTCGCACAAACCTCATGGTGCGCGCGTTCCAGTCAGCCCAGGTCTCTTGAGCTGCCCGTCGAAGTCCAAAAGAGGAGCGACAAACATGTAATTGAAGGACATTTAGGCTGTGGAGGTCATCTTGCGACCAGTGCAGCGCCCCTCCTATCCAATTGAACTGTGCCTCAATGAGCGTTCTCATGATGGAGGTCTTCTGCTTCCAGGAACCAGTGGCCTGAAGGATGTCACGGTTTGCGGCCGCGGCATTGCGAACCCTGGCGATAATTTCCTTGGCTTGTTCCGAAGGATCGTCTGCCAAAGAGAAGTTCACCCCCAGGACTCTCACGGCATAACCCCTGGGGGCAATTTCAAACGTGGCATCGCCGACTTTGGCTTTCCTGGCTCCAGTGTAGTGGGAGTTGGCCACTATCTTGGTCTTCTCTGCGGCTAGTTGTAGTCCTGCGCGTCCCAGGCACCTATCGACAGCGCGGACCCGACGACAAAGACGCGCCAAGTTAGTCTCAACCAAAAACACGTCATCCTGGAAAAAGAGAAGATCCAAGTCAAGGTTCTCAAACGGCTTGCCAAGTTCACCCCACTGCCTACAATTGACAAGGTCAGAGAGCAGGGCGTCAACTACAAGTCCAAACAGTTCCGCACTCTCGGGTGCACCCTGTTTGATGCCAATGTCTGGTTTGATGCTGATGGCCTGTCCTCCCGGGACCGTCCCGTACAGAGTGTGTACACGTAGCTGCTCCAGCATGTACTTCAGCTCATGGGGTACGCCTTGACTACGAAGCCGCTGAAGAAGTAGGTCGGCAACTCTTCCTCTCTCTACTCGGTCGAAGGCTCCGGCTACATCAAGCTTGCAGAGGAGGAAAGGAATTCTCCACTCTTTCGTTGCATCCCTGATCCGACTGATGCAACCCACTAGGTCCGCAGCTTGACGGCCCTTGCCACAACAAGAAATCCGCGATCCCCGACGTACAAGAGGAAGGACGCGGCTGCACACCATCCTATTCACGAGCTTGTTGAAGGCGGACGATACGCAGATTGGCCGAAGGTCACCCGGCTTCCGTGGCTGAGGGACTTTGGCAAGTAGGGCAAGGTAGCTGCGCTCCCACGTGTGTGGTGTTTGCCGATGTTCAACGATGTGGTTGATGAGGGTAAGGAGGCCTTCACTGAGGGTCTCATGCTCCACAATGCAGCGCAGCAGGTGTACTCCAATGCCGTCAGGTCCCACAGCACTACGGCATTTCATTTGTTGTAGTTCATGGCACACCTCGTGCAGTTGGAAGGGCACAAACTCACCCCTTTCATTGACCTCCTGGATGTAGTCGTCGAGCTGGTTGTCCCACTTCGTCCCAGGTTCACCCATCATCTTGTTGGTCAGGTGCTCGCGGATCTCCTCGGTGAGTTGTCGCGAGGGTTTGTCTTCAAGGAGCGCACCCCACCATCCCCTTTTCCTTTGCCTCTCATTCTGGATCTGCCTGTAGTTATCCCAATTGCCGGCGAGCACGGATGCAAGTCTTTCCCGTTGCCAGCGCTTGCGACCTTGTCGACGCAGACGGTGGACTCGTTTCCAGTCCGCAGGCATGTTTGTCTCCCTGGCGATCATGATGCTTTGTTTAGTCTCATCATCATCCCGGTAGGCAGAAGAGATGCGCGGGCGGGTGCACTGTTTCCCAAGTTGAATGAGCTCCTCCTCATCCACAATCTCAACCTCTGGCAATGGCGAAGCGACCCATCTGGCGCGCGAGTCATTGTTCCACTTGTTCGCCACAGAGCCACCCGAGGACCAGACATCTGCAAAGAGTAGTGCATGGTCTGTGCCAACGGCATGCCTTCGATCCGCATCGAACTCCACAGGTTGGACATGGACCATCCTTGAGAGGAGCATGTCAATCTGCCGCCCAGATCGTTCTTCATCCCGAGGAAAATGTGTTGGAGCAAAGCGTAGTGGAGGAACAGGAGGGCAAGGCTGGATCCCAAGCTGAAGGGCGTCATGCATCAAGGTGTTGAGGTTGCTCCCACATTCACCAATTTGAAGGTCACCCCCAACATCGTCCCAGGCAGGCACCTCATTGGCATCGGCTCCACATAGGAGAGGAAGGTGACGATACTTTTTGGGGCACGTCTGCATGAACTCATGGATGGCATTCTGGTAGGAGGCGTTAGTCACCCCAGTGAGGGCGTGGAGAGAACCGACAACGACGCGCCCAAGCCCAACAATTCTCACAACGACCCAGATCCCCCTCGTAGTGGCAACCTTATGAATGACAGAGTCGAACCTATCAGTGGCAATTCCGATCCCCACCCCGCGCCATTGAGCAGCACATCGATGGGTGACCCAGTGGAACTCTTTCGTCTCGAAGTCGTCCCATCCAGCTTCGCCCCTCGTGATCTCCTGAACCATGGCAATGTCAATATCAGAAGCAGCAACATCAAGAAGTTCAAGACGTTGCCCGGCAAGGTTCCACTGCCCGATTCGTCCCCATCTACGTTTTGCACGCCGAGGGGGTTGACGATGCGGCCATTCCTTCGGACCAGACTGCTTTTCGTCATCGGGCATCGAATTCATGTCATGCTCTGGTGTGAAACTCACCCCAACGTTTTGTCACAGCTCCAGCTCAAAGGCGTGTTTCGCCTCTTCCATGGAGCAGCCCACTGTTCTTGCTACTGCAGTAACACTCACCCATCCACCAGCCATAGTTACAACTTCTTCGTCGCGGGGCGAGCGATGCGATGAGCTACCCAGCTTCATACTGCCACACCAAATAGTGCCCATGTTCCAGTCACAGTCATAGGATGCTATCTGATCGTTGACTGCTCCAATGACACCACCTGGTTGTTTGGCCTGGGCGTCCTTGGCAAGAGCAATTGCAACCCGGCGGATCATGCTTACGTGACTGCTACGTAGCCGGGCATTTTTTGACTTGACAAAGCTCGCCCATAGGGTTTTCTCTTCTCCACCAGCTCGCGTAGATGGCAGCACGTACTTGATCTTCGCCAGGGCCCTGATCACCTGCCACATCCTGTTGCGAAGTTCCGATTCGCCTTCTCCCTCACGGAGGACAAACTTGAGCATGCCCACAGATCTTCGCGGTCCATAGATGGCGAGTTTGTCAGCATCGATGAGCGGCTTCACCTCTTCCATGCCCAGAAGGACACTGGATTCCTCCTCAATAACACTCCTCCTCGTGTCCTGATGCCACCCCCCTATCACCAACGTTTTCTTGTCGTCCTCAGATAGGAAGTCACCCCTGTCACCTTCAGGTACGGCAGCAGGAGGGCCAAGATTAGGCTGGACACCCCGTTTGTTTCCGTCACGTCTCCTGAGAAATTCTGCCCACGGATCTGGTTGTAGACCGGCAGCAGCAGCAACAGGATGACCCGGGCCTCCAGAGCCAGCCGTCTTGGCAGGGTCGATCTCCTCGATACGCACCTTCATGTTGCGAACTTCCTTGGCAAGCGTCTCAAGGCTGGTCGTGGTGTCTTGCGCCACCTGCCGTTGGTGTTGAACATCCTTCTCAGTGACAACGACCCGAGCTTGAAGATCACCCACCGTATTGTTAAGCTTCGCCTGGTCGGCTTCAACTTTATCAAGACGGCCCTGGAAAGTCCCCCAAGCGCACCTCATCTCACTGACATGGCCTGAAAGCATGGCTCTCAATTCGCTTGCTGTGAGCGGAGCCTCATCGCCCACACTGGCCCGCTTGGAGGGACTGTCAATGTCATCTTCTGGAACCGCACGGGCGTGGCCATACGGTCTGGTAGCTTCCCTTTTTCTTTTCTCTGCCTTGACCGAGCTGCGAAGTTCTTCGTCAGAGGGCAAGTCAGAGCCTTCTGCGACTTCAGTGGGCGAACCAACTTCAACCAGCATGTCTTGTTCCAACTGGGTGGCCTCGTTGTCCGCCATCTTAACCACAACGCCCAAAGAGAGAGAAAACGAGCACCCAGGAAGACACCCAAGTTGGAGAGAATCACCCCACAAGGGTTCAAGTCGTTCTCGTCAAAGCCAGTCAAGGAAGTCACCCTCCACGGTCAGAATGGCCAGAGTTGAGCCCCGAAGTCGCCCAGTGAAAGCGTGCAACCAAAAGAGAGAGGCCAAGCCAAGAAGAAGGAGAAGTCGCCCCGCAGAATCGTGTAGATGAAGACGGAGACGGTAGAGCCCAGCGACGTTCCCCCGGCGAATCGGGTAAGACAGAAAGAGCCGGATCAAGTAGAAGTCACCCTTAGCCTGGTTCCGGTCGCGATGGCCCAGGCGAGCAAGAGGCAGGGCAGTTTTAGGGCAAGACGGAACACGGGGTTTGAGCACAACAGCTTGAGCCATAGCCAGGGTTTAGGGTTTAGGGTTTAGGGTTTGGGTTTAGGGGTTAGGGTTTGTTTCCCTCTCGTTCTCTGCCATGGGGTTTAGGGTTTAGGGTTTAGGGTTTTAGGGCTTAGGGCGCTCATGGAGGTGTCCCTTCGAGTCAGGATCGACCTACTCATCGGGGTCCCATGTTTCAGAAACCCCCTCCTGACCCCATGCAGCCGAAACCGCATCATTGATCGCAAAGTCCAGGTAGATGCCCAGGAGCATCTTGAGCATATGGGACACGTCTGCCACCAGCAGCTGCATCTGCCCATGAACCTCAAACTCCCAAATCCTACATGGGTAGTTTTCTAAATTAGGGTCCCATTTTTAGGTCCCCAATATAGTACGGCACCCTTATAAGAAGAACCCCAAAAGGGACCCTAATTTAGAGAACTACCCACATAACCAAATCCCAAGTCAAGAGACCCTACAACCCCAAGTACCTAGCCTAGCGGAACAGTTCTTGGAGTCTTAGAGAACCCCACTGCCCAGACCCCCGGGAGGATCTAGAAAGTAGAATCCCTAATTTGGGACCCCATACTACTAAGGGCTCTTTATAGGAACCCCCAACAAGGGTTGAAGCCCGGCGACCTCATGCTCATGCGACCGACATAGCTCCTCGATCTTTGCCATTTGCTCGGGGCGCAGCCGCGCCAGATGGCACTCACGACCCAGCCGCAGGAACTCCTTCGCCAGTGAAGTTCAGGGACTCTTTAAGGGTTTAGGGTTTAGGGTTTAGGGTGAAGTTCAGGG